AAAAAAATGCATGTACTAAAATAAAAGATCTAAAATCAGTAAACTAGGATTCCACCTTAAGAAATTAAAGAAGGGAAAACTAAATGCAAAGTAAGCAGAATGAAGGAAATATTAAATACAGAATAAAAATCAATGAATCAATGTATCAATCAATGATCAATGAATGATACAGAAAACATTACAATACCGAAAAACATTAAAGAAAAATGAAACCAAAAGCTGGTTCTTTTAAAAGATCAACAAATTGATAAACCCCAAATGCAAACAAGAAAAAAAGTGAGAAAACACAAATTACCAGTATCGGCCATCAAAGAGGGGACATCAGTACAGATCCCACAAACATTAAAAGGGAATACTAGCATAGTCTAATTCAATGCCCATAAATTCAGTAGCTTAGACAGAATACAGTTAAGTACTTGAAAGACAAAAACTACCAAAACCCACTCAAAAAGAAACAGACAACCCACGGAGCCCTATATCTATTAAATAATTGAATTTTTAGTTAAAAACCCTTCCAAAAAAGATAATCCCAGGCCCAGATGGTTTCATTGGTGAATTCTACCTAACATTTAAGGAAGAAATATGGGGCACCTGGCTGGCTCAGCCAATGGAGCATGTGACTCTCGATCTCAGGGTTATGAGTTCAAGCCCCGTGTTGGGGGTAGAGATTACTTAAAAAAATTTTTTAAACATTTAAGGGAGAAATAATACCAATTCTACACAACCTCTTCCAGAAAATAGGAAACCACTTCCCAAGTCATTTCATGAGCATCCTCCTAAAACCAAAAGTAGGCAACGATATTATAAGAAAACTATAGGATCAATATCTTTCATCATATTAGATGCAAAAATCCTCAAAACTATACTAGCAAACAGAGCCCAGAAACATTGAAAAAAGACTCATATATCATGACCAAGTAGATTTCATCCCAAGAATGCAAGGCTGGTTCATCATTTGAAAATTGATCAATGTAATTCAGCATATTAAAAAAACTAAGTTAGAAAAGCCATACACCATATCAATAGATTCAGATAAATAATATTTACAAGATTCACTACCCATTCATAATAAAAACTGTCAGCAAATTAAGAATACTTACATCATATTTAATCATGAGAGACTGAATGCCTTCCCCCTAAGATCAGAAACAAGGGAGGTCCTCTCTCACCACTCCTACAGGGGAGGAACCTGGCAGATACTACTTTAACCAAGTAATCAAGATTATCAGCACCAGTGATAAATCGTGCTGATAGCATGTAAACCCCTGAAATGATGGGATGAGAAAGGCATTTCACCTCTGTGGATTCTTCCCAAAAGCCCGTAACCCCAATCTAATAAAGAGAAAAACATTAGACAAATACAACTTGAGAGTCATTCTACAGAATAGCTTACCAGTACTCTTCAAAACTATCAAGATATTGAAAGGCAAGGGAAGTCTACAAAAGCATCGCAGCCAAGAGGAGACTAAGGAGATATGCAATGTGGTATCCTGGAGGAAAAGAACATTAGTGAAAAAAACTATAAAATCCAAATAGTCTATAGTTCAGTTAATAGTCATGTACCAATGTTAATTTCTTAGTTTTGACAAAAGTACCAAGGTTATGTAAGATATTAGCTTTAGAGAAAGCTGGTGAAAGTTATATGGGAACTGTCTGAACTATTTTTGTGATTTTTCTGGAAACCTAAAATAATTCCCTCAAAAATTATCTTTTTTAAAAAAAGCAGAATGTCAGGGGTGCCTGGGTGGCTAGTCAGTTAAGCATCTGCCTTCAGCTCAGGTCATGATCTCAGGGTCCTGGGATCGTGCCCCGTGTCAGGCTCTCTGCTCAGCGGGGAATCTGCTTCTCCCTCTCCTTCTGGGCGCTCTCTCTCTCAAATAAATAAATAAAATTTAAAAATTAAATTTTAAAAAAGCAAAGGTCAGAAAAAGATATACTATGTAAACACTGACCAAACAAAAGCTGGAGTGAGTATATTAATATCAAATAAAGTATCCTTCAAAACAAAGAATATTTCTAAGGATAAAAACAAATATTATGTAACTATAAGGGAGTTAAATCACCAAGAAAACTTAACAATCCTAACTGTGTATGTACCTAAATACAGAAATCAAAATACCTGAACTACTATTAAAACTGACAGATTTGAAAGTAGACAAATCTGCGTTTATAGTTAGAGACTTCAATACTCCAGTCTTTGTAATCGGTAGAATAAGTAGATAGAAAATAAGAGATATGGAAGACCTGAAAAATACCATCAACCCACATGACCTAATTCACATTTATAGAACATTATACCCAACAACAGAATGCACAATGCTTTTCAAGTACACACGGAATATTCACCAAAATCAACCATGTTCTGGGCCATAAAACAAACCTCAGCAAATTTAAAAGAACTGAGGTCAAGCGAAGTAAAGTATGTCCTGTGACCATTACAGAATTAAACTAGAACCAATAACAGAAAGATATCTCGGAAAATCCCCCAAATAACTGGAAAATTATGTGAGGTACAGATAAACACCAGCCCCGTGCATAAACCATCCCCTTTCCTCCCCACCATTATCAGAGCTGCGAGGAGGGGTGTCCTCTCCCCCACAAGCCCAGGCTGTACTTTTGTGAATCCATTCCCTCTTCAAGACTACTTATTTTTCAAGCAAATATAGTTTAATTTTATTACCAAGAGAATTTCTAAGCAAATACAGTTTATAAACTTATTACCAAGAAAATGTATATGATAATTCTAAGCCAGTCAGACTTCTCAGTCTGATTTTTCATGCACGAACATGTAAATATTTTTATGCTAGCCATATAACTCTCATTCTGCCCAAAACGTATTCAAACCAAATCTACAATGTGCAGAACGCCTTAAAGAAAAAATATTTTCTGATATTTTTTAGTTCAGCAAAATGAACGGTATTTTTTCTTTAATCATAATGTTATTGCATCCAATCCTTAATGAAACACAAGCACTTCCTGAATTATGACTATTTACATTACAAATGACAATTTTTTAAAAAAGCTGTGAAACTCTTCACCTCTCCAAGGACGTTCTGCCCTACAAGGATGACCATTAGCACCACCTAGTGGATGAAATAATAAACTGGGATTCAACATCTCTTTTATCTTAGAATTGAGGATACCCTGCTTCTGAAGCAAGATGGAACCTTAAATTCTATCAGGTTCAACCCATTGTACTATATGGAGGGAAGAGAGGGGGAACGGTGCCTGAAGAACTTGACTTGAATGTGATCACAGACACAAACGCCACGTCCCCTGATTTTTACACTCGCAAATTGGTCCTTTCTATTGCACGTTGCAGCCATGTGCAAAAAAATTAACCTCAAACCTTACCTTCATCATATGCAACATTTGCCTGGAAATGGATCAGAGACCTAAAATTAAGAGCTAACACCTTAAAACTGCTAAAAGAAAACAAAGGAAAAAAAATCTTAATGACCTAGAAGTTGACAAAAATCTCTTAAATATAACACAAAAAGTACTAATTATAAAGGAAAAAAATCAGTAAATTAGACCTCATCAAAATTAGACCACAACAAAGCAAATACCCTTTGCTCTCTGAAAAATACTTTTATAAAAATTAAAAAGCCACAGACTGGGAGAAAATATCTGTAAAACATATATCCAACCAAAGGGCAAAAGCTTTGAATAGATACTTCCCTAAACAAGAAATATGGCTGGCTTATAAACACGTGTAAGGATGCTCAATGGCCACTGATCATTTGAGAAATCCAAATTACAAATACAATGAAACACCATCACACTAGACCACTAGAAACACCATTAAATGGCTTGAAACTAAAAAGACTGATCATACCAAATGTCAAGTATATGGAACAACTCAAGCTCTCATACACTGCCTGGAAATGTAAAATTACAAGTTCACTTTGGAAACAGTTTATCAGTTTCTTAAAAACATAAATATACATCTACTACGTGACCCAGCCATTGCACTTAGTTGTATACCAGAGAAGGAAGAAAGCATGTGTCCACCAAAGATTTGTACGTGAATATTTATAGCCACTTAAGTCTGTAGTAGCCAAAAACTGGAAACTACCCAAATGTCTATTAGCAGATAAATGAATAAGCAAAATATGTTATATCCTTAAAATGGAATAATTATCAGTACCAAACAGAAATAAACTATTGATGTATGCAGCATTATACATGAACCTCATAATAGTTGAGTAAAAGATGCCAGACAAAATAGTAGATATTCCAATTTATTCCTATAAAATTCTAGAAATTGCAAACTAATCTATAGTGACAGAAATTAGATCAGTGATTGCCTAGATGGGAGATCAGAGGAAAGAGAGAGGATATTAAAAAGGGACACAAAGTTACTTTTGGGAGTGATGGATATGTTCATTATCTTGTGATGATAGCTTTATGGGTGTGTGTGGGGGGGGTGTATACATATATGTATGTATGTCAAAATTCATATATACATATGTCAAAATTCATCAAATCATACAATTAAATGCAGTTTACTGAATATCAATTATACCTCAATAAAACTATAAAAAATGAAAAACATATATTCATCACATAACCCAGCATTCTATTTTTAGGCATTCATCCAAGAGATATGAAAACATATGTCTACATTCTAAAACAGGAAAAACCAATCTATAGTGACAAAAAGCAGATCACTGGTTGCCTAGGGTCACAGTGGAAGATTAATTGCAAAGGGGCACCATCTGGAGAGAAAACTTTACAACTACAGGAAGTTTCCGGATGGGAATTTTCCCATACATTCTATATATACACCTATAAAATATGTTCTGAATTGCAAACAGGTGATTAAAAAGACCAATAAACCCTGAAACAAATAATACATTATATGTTAATTAATTGAATTTAAATAAAAAATAAAA